TATTCCTTCATTCAGTGTCCAGTAGTGTAAGAGGAGACTACTTAATGCTTCCTCTTACTTCGTTTGATCAGTGTTTGTTAATCTTTAAAGAGTTAATCGGTCATACATAGATAAGTAGCTAAAATGTGCCTAATGCCTAACTTAAAAATAAGCAGAAAATGAGTCAGTGTGCATATTATTTTGTGATCTTTGTTTCTGGAACTCAACATTGTTGGAGATTTATCCATGTTGAAGTTCGCTCCAACAAGTCATTCATTTTCATGTACATGAATCTATACTATGTATACATACCCTCTTAAGAAGCAGTGGTGTTAGCAGTGTTCTTATGTTTCTGTCTAGGACATGTATCCCTTGTGCATGTCTTCTCTAGGTATACATGTGAGACTTTCTGTAGGAACTACAATTATCAGATCATTGTGCTGTAAGGGCTGCACACATTCTGCTTTACTAGATAATGCCAAATTGTTTTTCAAAATGGTCCTACTACTTTACATTTCTACTAGTATGTGGTAGATCTTGTGTTTTCTATCCCCATCATATTTGGTATTGTAATTTTTTGACATTCACACATGTAGTGGGTGACTGATGATTCTTTATAAAGATATTGCAAGGTCAGAAGTCCTGGCAACAGAAGTGAATTTCCTGTTCTTCTCATCCAATAAGTACTTCTTGCCAAATTTGTTCTTATCCCTGAAGTCTTTCTTTAGGATTTTTATCCAAAGAGTGAATAAATCTTGCCTGCCTCAGCTCTTTGCATGTTCAACTGCTACTAATTGCTTAGATTGAGAATTCAGGACATGTTTACCACTAATTCAGCTCACAAATTTATGTCATTTTTCACAGAAACAAAAAAGCTCAGAAATTGGTATAGAACTGTACACACACACACACACACACACACACATCCCAAAACCACCCAAGCAGCCAAAGCAATCTTGAGCAAAAGGGAGAAAAACTGAAAATGTCACTGTCATTTTGCCTGGCTTTAAAATATATCATAAAGATATAGTCATCAAAATACCATGGTGCTGGAATGAAACAAATAGAAGCAGTGTCAAATGAAACAAACATGAAAGTCCAGAAGTGAATCTATTTATCTGTGCTGAATTGATTTTGAGATTCAAAGATGATAAGAACACATGCTGGGAAAAGGGCAATCATTTCAGTAAATGGAGTTGGGAAAGCTGGACAGCCACATGTAGAAGAATAAAATTAGACCATAATTTAACATGGTGTATTCAGATAGGAGCTTGAAATACATTAGACTAAGAGCAGAGGCATTTAAAGTACTAGAAGACAGCTTAGATCAAAAAAACTAGTTAACATTGGCCTGGACAATGATTTTTTATTTGACCTCCAAGATCATGTAACAAAGCAAAAAGAGACCAATAGCCATTAAATTAAAAAATAAAAAAAAATTACTGTGCTGTACACAGTAAAAGAAACATCAGAGTGAAGAGACCACGTATAGACTAAAATATTTTATTACAGTTTATCTGATAAGATGTTGATATTTAAAACACTTGAATAGTCATTTCTCAAAAGACACATGAAAAGCAACAGATATGTGAAAACTGCTGAGTGTTACTAATTATTAGGGAAATGAAAATTAAAGCCACGGTGAAATGTCACACCTGTCAGAAAGGTTGTAATCAAAAAGATGAAAGATTAGTATTGGTAAGGATATGGAGAAAAGGGAACCTTTGCACACTGTTGATAGAAATGCAATCAGTGTAGCCACGAATGGAAAACTAAATGGAGGTTCCTTAACACCTAGAAACAGAATTATCATGTGGTCCAGTAATCCTACAGCTTGAAATACTAAGGATTTGAAAACATATTTGCGTACTTCCCTTAATTACAACATTATTTATAACAGCCAAGATAGAGAATCAATGTCAGTGTCCATTAACAGATGAGTGGATAAAGAAATTGCCATATATATATATATATCACACAGTGGAATGCAATCTTGTTATAAAAGGAAGAAAATTCGGGTAATAGTTGCAGCAGCATGGGTGAAGCTAGAGGGCATTATGCTTAGTGAAATAAGGTACAAATAAAAACTAAATGATCTCACTTATATGGAAAGTCTAAAACAATGGAAGTCAGAAGTAGAGAGTGTAATGGTGATTACAAGGGAGTAGAAGAAATGGGAAATTCAGTCATTACACACAGTATACGTATCTCATATCACTAGGTATCCATTATTATATATAACTATATTTTCTCAAAACCTATTTTAAATAATTTAGAACACATTGCAAAATATCTTCAGTTATAGATTTCTCAACTCAATACAACAATCAAATGATTACTGGACAGTACACCTGGTTTTTGTGCAAAATAATGCAGTTTTCTTTCAGAGAATTTTGTTTTCTGAGAATGATAAGGGCCAAGAGGTCTGTAACAAAATAAGTTAAAACAGTTGAGGGAAACACAAAGTGCTGAGATGGTGAAGCATATGGAAATGTTCAAGGAAGACCTCTCAGGCAAATGAAATTAGTTAAGAGAGGACTGGAGAAGGGATTTAGCTATGACTAATTACATGTGAGTTGATTTGTGGGGAGGCAGGAAAGTGATGCAGAAAGATGATGGAAAGGGCAAGGAACTGGAGGTGGGTTAAAACCCAGCATGTGTGGGAGTTATGAGAAGGCAGTTATGGCTGGGAAGGACATTGTGGTTTGGAGACATGAAGTTGAAATTAAGAGACAGATCTTCTAGGTTGGGTAAGGACTAGGAATTTATACCTAGGTGCAGCAGAAAGCTGATAAAAGGTTTGAAATGGGGAACAGGGAGCGAGGGTGACCAAATCTAGAGGTTTGACAATGAAATTCGCTGATATCTAAAGAAAAGATTGAGTGACAGTAAGTGCATTTAAAAATTTCATAAACTTACGAACATTAAGACAGGACCTGATACTTATGAGGGTGTGAGGTATGGTTCTTATCCCACAGAGGTTCACATTCATTCAGGGCTATAAAACACAAGGAAAAGATGGTGCTAATTGAATGTGAGTCGTACAAAGAGGACATCCATGAGTTAGTAGTTTGAAGGGGGATGGAATGCTGTGGGTTGGAACAGTCAGAAAAGAAGTGGCTGGCAGAATCTTCTTGGACCTGGAAAGATTAATAGAAGTAGCAGGGAATTGGGAAGGCATTCACAGGAACACAAGATGATCCATCTGCCCCCCAGTTTGGAGAGAACAGAGGTGAGCTGGGAGGTGAATAGGGAAGGAAGGAAACTCGTCAGATTGGGAAAGCCCTTGAATGACTTCTCCCCAAAGATAGCTCTGTTGGTGGAGTGTATATGGACATATCATTCACATCTTTGTAAGGATGGAGCCAGTGGCTGTGGTTTAGATTTCACTTGGGATACCGTTTCTTTATAAACAGCACTGTTATGTACGACTGCAGACTTGTTTTGTTGGCCCTGCATTAATATCTTCTGGGTTTATCTGTACTAAGTCACTTGATTTAGCTTGAACATTGGGGTCTTAAATGGAAGAAGCAGTTTCTTTTTAAACAACCTAAGATACCTAGATAAACATATATCTAGTTAATAAAATAAGGCACTTAACTTTATACTCTCAGTATTGCTTTACTTTAGCAATGTATGAAGGAAATAGTTGAGGCCATGTGCATTATTTAGATTTATTAGAATTGAGTCAGGCAATTTCTCAGTGTCCTACAGAAATTAAAGTCCATTTCAGTACAAGTCTTACTGACAATACAAACCCTCTCTGTATATCACCCTTTATTAATGCCTAGACTCCTCTGTAGGTCTCACCTTATGGTGGAAACAGTGACACCTGAGGATGTTGCATCCTGGATTCATTTCCTTATGGCTTTCACTTCAGCACAGTGTAGTGAATCCCGAGTGGTGCATTGTCTGTCTGGTCTTGCCTGTATGGTCAAAGTGCAACTATATAATTGACTTACCTCACTCTGTTGCTCCTAAGAAGGGGACATCATTCATTCCCTTGCATGTATTTTTATAGCATCCTGTATTTTCTTTTGAGTTTGTTGATTTAGGGTATCCTACCTTTACTTGCAAATCCTGATTCTTTTACCTTTTACAAGAAAATGGATCTTTAATGCCACCTAGCCTCTCTGAGCCATTTTTGCCCATTCTTCCTTTGTGGCTTGACATCACTACCAGCATCTCAGTAAGCAGTAGGGAGATGGAAGTGAAGGCCCCAAATGGTGCAGAGCATTTGATGTGTTCCCAGCTCCTTCTGGTACTGATCAGCACCACCTGCATAATAACCTGTGTAGGCCATCACCAGCCTTCCCTTCCTCTTTTCAGGTGAATCAGACCATTGTGAAGCTTATCACTGTCCAGATTCCAGGGACTCTCAAAGTGCCTGCGGTGTGTGTAGGGTATTGCACCAGTTCTTTAAAAAGACCATGACATTGAAAGAAAAGGAGTTACAGAGGATTGAGAAGAGCTCAGGCTAGAGATCAGAAAAGGCTTTGTCTTTGGCATTAAGCAACTCAAATTTGGCAGCTTCAGGGATGCAGTTATTCTGTCACTGCTGCCCCGTCTCTCATGCTCTGAGGACAGTGAGGTGGAAAAGCTGAAGAAATTGAAGTCGGATTTTCCTCTGGAAAAGGCTCAGAACCCTCATGGAACTTATGAGCAAGTGCTGTGAATACAACTATGAGGCAAACACATAATGATCTCTGAAGAATATTTATTCAGAGAGCGTGCTTTGAATCTCATTATAACATTTTATTACATGGACTTATTCTCAGTAATAAAGCACTGTCCATATTCTGATAGCTGTCCCAAAGAAAAAGCATTTTGTTGATCTGAGTACAGTGGAATCTTTGCAGTAAATGCTTTCTCTATTCCTGTTCATTTAGTAGCCAGTTGCCATGAGAAATGAACTGTGTTCTGAGCTGGTGATGGGCACAGGAGAACCAGGCTACTGCGGCAACTCTAAATGTTCTGTTCCTTCTGTTTTTTCTTTTTAATTCAACATTTATTGCCCTCAGGAAACTCACGCTGAAGAGATGGGAGCACTAGAGAACCAACTGATGCAGGTCTGATCTCCTTGAAGGTAGGAACTCAAGAATTCTTTTTTCCTTCCTTTGTGTTACCAGTTCCTATACAGTGCCTAGTGTGCCGAAGGTGTTCAGTAGGAATTTGCTTTTGTTGTTGTTTGGAGACAGATTAAAATTTTCTTTTAAGTTGCAGTATAATGTGGCAAATACCCACATGCCTTTTATTCAATATGTTAGTTTACTAAGACTGCTAACCAAAATATCACAGATGGGGTGGTTTCAGCAATAGACATTTATTTTATTATAATTCTAGCGGTAGGTCTGAAATCAAGCACTGACAAAGTTGGTTTCTTCTGAGCAAGCTTTCTCTTGGCTTGTAGGCGCTGTCTTTTCTAATTGCCTCACATAGTCTTTTCTCCATTTGTCAGTGTCCAGATTTCCTCTTTTTATGATGCCAGTTGTATTGGTATAAGGTAGAGAGAGCAAGCCTTTTGGAGACTGAGTGCTCCGACTGCAACCCAAAACCCACTTGTTTATTGCAAAGTGCCAACAGTGTGATTAAACTTGAATACTGGAGTTTTAGTTTAGGAGAAAACCCAACTCATTAACATCTTTCATTTAAAAAAAAATACTATAACATGTGTGCCTATGACCTCATATTAACCTAATTACTTTTTTAGAGATTCATCTCCAAATATAGACACATTCTGAGGTCCTGGGGGTTAACACTTAAATGTAAGAATTTGGTAAGGAGAGACTCAAGGCAGCCCAGATTTACTTCCTAACCACTTATATCATTTGCATCATATTTAGCGATATTGAGCAGATTTTTATGTTTTTTGGCCACTTGTATATCTTATATAGACAAATATCTATTCAAGTTCTTTGCCCATTTTTAAAAATTGGGTTGAATTTTTGTTGTTGAGTTGTAAGAATTTTTTATAATACATGTTCTGAATATTAACCCCTTATTAGATATATAACTTGCAAATATTGCGTTCCATTCTATCGGTGCTTTTTTCACTGTTTTTGGTCTTCGGTGTATTAGGTTTTTAACATTTGATGTCTCCCATTTGTCTGCTTTTGCTTTTGCTGCTTCTGCTTTTGAAGTGGTATCTAAGAAATTGTTGTCAAATACAGTGTTGTGAAACCTTTCCCTTGTTTTCTTCTAGGAATTTTATAGTTCTAGATCTCTAATCAATTTTAAGTTGTTTTTTATATTTGGTACAAGATAATAGTGTGATTTTACTTTTTTGCATCTTAGTATCCATGTTTTCGAACACTGTTTGTTGAAGAGACTGTCCTTTCCCCATTGAATGAGCTTTGTACCACTTTTCAAAGGTCATTTAGCTATTCACAGGAGGACATATTTTGGACTCTCTAATCTATTCCAGTGTAAACACATACTTTCTGAGCTTAGCTAATCATTAGGCGAGTCTGGGTGACTTTTAGGAGAGGGAGCCCTGCAAATGGCCTTAAAGATACATTCTGTCCTGTTTCCACAGATTCTTTGTCCACTGCATCCATGGGAAATTGGTTCTAGGGCACCTCCCACTCCCCACCCCAGGCCCCAGAAACCAAATCTGCAGATGCTCCAGTCCTTTGTAAAAAAAAAATGTAGTATTTGCACCTAAGCTGTACATGTCTTTTAAATCATCTCTAGATTACTTGTGATATCTAATACTATGTAAATGCTATGCAAGTACTTATTCATGCTGTATTGTCTAGGGAAGAATGACAAGAAAAAGTGTATATGTGTTCAGTATAAATTTTTAGATACATTTTTGGCAGAGATTTTAAAGATTGGCAGAGATTTTAAAACTTGGTTCAACTTACTGATGCAGAACTCACTGATACAGAGAACCAGCTGTGCTTTATTTTTTAAATAGACTTCCTTTTTTTAAAAAAAGAGAGTAGTTCCACTGAGATATAATTCACATACAATATAATTCATCTTCTTAAAATGTACAACTCAGTGGTTTTTGGTGTATGCAGGGGTTTGTACAATTTTCATCACCATCTATTTTCAGAACATTTTCATCACCAGCATAACTATTAGTATTTCTCGTTTCCTATCCCTAATTTCTGTCAAACTCTAATCTTTCTGTGTTCTATGATTTGCCTAGTCTCCAATATCAAGTGGAGTTATTTGATTTTGGCCTTTGGTGTGTGTCTCAAAGTTCCTTCATATTTAGGTAATATGTATCAATACTTTTTCCCTATTTATTTTTTTACTTAATTAAGCTGGTAAGTAAACAATTACAGGTATTTATTGTACGTACCCCATGATGTTTGGAAACATGTATACATTGTGGAGTAGTTACATCAAGCTAATTAATGCTTGTACTACCTCATGGATTTATTATTTATTTGTGCCAAGAATACTTAAAAATCTACCCAGCAATTTGGAGTACAGATTGCATTGTTATTATCATGCTCTTCTGGTTAGTCTGGTGACCGACCGTCCTCTTGAACTTATTCTTCCTGTCTAACTGAAGGTTACATCATTTATCCAAATAGACATTTCCCAAGGTCCACCCTCTAGGTCCACCCTAGCCCCTGGTAGCCACCATTCTACTCTTTGTTTCTGTGCCTTTGAAGAGAGGCTCCACGTGAGTGACATCGTGTGGCTGTCTTTCTTGGGTCTGGCTTAATTCACAGCATAAGTCTTATAAGTTTGTCCACTTTGTTTCAAATTAAAGAATTTTTTACTGTTTAAGTCTGAGTAGTATTCACGCGCGCGTGCGTGTGTGTGTGTTTTACATTTTCCTTATGCATTTGTCTGTTGATGAATGCTTGGCTATTCCATATCTTGGCGGTTGTCAGTCGTGCTGCAGTGAATGTGGGAGACAGACACACCGATACCACTTCTTGTAGCTACAAATGCCAGGATGTAAGATTGCTGGATCATGTGGTACTTTAATTTTTAGTGGAACCTCCATGCTGTTTATCTTTGAGGAATGTCTGTTCATGTTCTTTGTTTTTAAGTTGATTTCCTGGGCTGGTGAGATAGTTCAGCAGACTAAGTGCCTGCTTAGGCAAGCTCAGGGACCAGGCTTCAATCTCCAGCACCACATACCAACCAAGCCCCACCCCCAGGTGCGCTGAGTGGGCCACTGAGACTAGGAGCGGTGGCACATCCCTGTAATCCCAGCACTGGGGCAGCTGAAAACAGGAGGATCCCTGAGTCCAACCTATGAGTCTGAGCTGCATAGTGAGACCCTGTACCAAATACATAAAAAATAAATAAATAAATAAATTGATTTCCTTTTGTTTATTTTCTGAGATTCGTAGACATGAATTATCTTGTCTGAGGCCCAGGAGATAGCTCAGTAGAGGGTCTGAGTTCAATCCCCGGTTCCGCAAGAACAAGAACAAGAGGAAACAAAAAATTATCTTGTCTGGAATTATGTAATTAGGAAGTGGTAGAGCTGGGGTTTCATGTTCTACATATTAAGTTAAGGCATTTTGTTTTAAATCAAAAGTATAGAAAGTTGAGTCAACCTTGTTCCTTGGTACATGCCATGTTACCAGCACTGCTTGTGCTGGGCCTCCTCCTCCCTTGACATTTATTTATACATTTATTTTATCCTTATACTTCATTCTCAGTACTTTTTCCACAGGCAAACATTTAAATTTATTTAATGCATATTTTATATGCATGCTACCATAAAATTATATTTTACATTTGTGAGTAGTAACAAGTCTTTTCTCTTGTTATTAGGGTGTGTTTGTGATGTTTGAAAACAAATAGTTATATTTGTTTTGGGGAGCTGGTATATGCATGTCATTTTTTTTTATCCATTTTGATCCCCTCCCTCCCTCATAGTGAATCCTGTGTCATTTTTTCCTCCCTTAGCCTTGTGATTTGGGATCCTTTTTGTGTTGCTGCAGGCATGTAAAGCCTCCCGCATGCCTCTTCATCTCTGGCACGTCCCTCAGGTTGGTACTCACCTGGATTCCCTCCAGCTCCTCCTCCCCACAAACAGTGCTTCCCCCAGCAGCCTCTTTTTGTGCATTCTGAGCCTTCCTCCAGCATACATCAGTCAGGCAGAAATCGCTAGGTTGTACTTCACTTGGATTGGTCTCTAGAATAGCTCTACCAGCCTGTGAGTCTACTGGCAGTTCTGGGAGGGTTCATATTTTTCCAGATCCCCACCAATGCTTGGCATTATCTGATTTTCAATTCTTTTTTGGTTTTTTTTGCCATCCTACTGCAAAGAAAGTGAAATCTGTTTATTTTTTTTAATTTCTTTGACAGCCAGTGTTTTTGCCATCTCTTGCTATTCTGCTATTATTTCTTGCAAGTTGAACAGTGTTGTTCTAATCCACAAGGGGTCTACCCCATTGCTGTTTTTTTGTGCCCTTCCCTTTATCACACCTCCAACCTGGAGCATGCCCTGGTTTTTCCTCTTACAGCCATAATTCCCTCACCATTGCACCTTGTCTTTTGTGAGATGGTGGGGAAGATAGGAAGTTATTTAGTCCATACTCTGTTTTGTTGCTGTGAGAAACAAGGAGATTTTGTTTGCTTTGTGCCAGCAGTGAGTCACAGGAAGTAACAGATGGTTTGAAGGGTGAGGACAAAGACACAAAACAACATGTGAGTGATGTTCCTTTAAAAAAACAGAATTAGAAGGAAGTAAGTGAGAGGTTAAAAGAGTGAGGACACATGAGATATACTGTTAGCCAAGGGATGGGGGGTGCTTCTCAAGGTTCAAAGGAAAGAAAGGTGACCTAGAATGGACTATAGCTCTGGGAACACTGGACTTTTGGGAGGGGAAAGTAGGAAGAAGATTCCAGGATCTAGATTTTAAACATACATGCACTTTTAAATATAATATTTATCTGTGTATTCAAAATGGTTAGAATAGATATATAGTTACATTCTCTTAATGAATAGAGGAATTTGTTCTAATAGTGTTTGTAAATAGGGTATCATGTCCGCATCTTGTACAGCAATTAGCCCCTGGGAAGAATGTATGCAATGTGTTATTGAAACTGTCCTACCAGTTTGGTTTGAAACTGTCTCATTGTTATTTGTTTATCAATAAAA